TTTCTGATGAAGGGTCTAGGCCCGAAACGTCAGCCTTTCTGCTCCTATGATGCTGCTTGGCCTGCTGTGTTCATCCAGCCCTGCACCTTGTTGTCTCTGATATGGTGAGGCTACTGGTTTGTCAATGTCAACTTGCAAAGATGAAAGATTGAGGAGAATGGTGCTGTTTGGGGCATGCAAAATATTGTGGTGAAGAAACAGTTGGAAGATGGCCAGGGCAAGGAATCTGAGAGCTGTAGTGTCCAGGCATCTGCTCTCACTTATGTCAAGAATTCATGCCATTTATTTTCTTGGTAAAGAAGAAGAGAATTGGAAGTGATGTATAAATACGGTGAGGTGAGGCGTTAGTGAGATGCAAATACATGGAAATACGGTATCCTTGTTTTAACCGGCACCTTATCAACCAGTACTCTTGATAAACTGGCAATAATTAAATACCTCAAATACTGTGATCTGTCATCATGTCCAAATATTTATGCTGTAAATAAAGTACATGGTGTGTGTACACTGCCTGCATTACATTTCTAATACTGAATCTGTGTTTTTACATTAATTTTAGGAAGTGTGTTAATGTTTTTACATAGATTTTTTGAGGGATGTTGATCTCTTGAAGATTTACTTAGTCAAGGTTTAATGAGGTTATGTGTACCTCTTGATTGTCCAGAATATTTGATCAACCAGCACACTCCTGGTCCCCCGGTGGTTAATAAAAAGTTTGCTATTGTTGCTGTTCAGAGGTGAAATTCTGATTTTGTCACTTCAGGCTTAAGGGGAAAATTGCAAAACTTTTTCATTACATCCCTCGAGTTTCCCCATTGCTCACACCACACTAAGAAAGGGAAATGTCCACCATGATTTAGTTTCGTAAGCAAACTTTAGTAAGTAAACTGTTTTTACTTTTACAGCTCGACCAATGACTCTGTCCCTGCCTTTGACACCAGAATCATCAAAGTAAGTGTTTGTAAAATATTTTAGAACTGCTCATACTTGAAGAAAGCAATGCGTTTGATTTTTAATGCAAAATAATCAAACCATTAAAAGGACAATTAAAAATGACTTTTTCAGTGATCCTAAAGGTTCCCCATTTGAGACCAAGACTATTGAACGTACCCTGAGTGTCCAACTCCCTGGTACTGCTGGTAAGACCTGTTAATGCTTTACCTTTACTTTTGCAATTGATTGTTCTGTAGAAAATGAATCACTGTTCAGTGCTGAGGTTATATTTTCCAAATTCTCATATTATTTCAAGTAGAAGTTTCCGTGATATATTTTCCAAGCTATTTTATGCTACCGTCTGTGTATTTATGTACTGCTAGCTTTTCATTGCTGTATTTTACAAAAATGTTAATGGCTATTCATGGTACTTGGTAGCCACAATATGTAATAGGACAATGATTTCCAAAGTATTCAGATTTACTAACCTTTTGTGTACCTCTACAGGCAGTTTATTGCTTTAACTACCCTTCAAGTGAGCAGGAAGTTTACAATTACAAAGACATGTTCTTGTGGCACAATGGTTGTGGCTTGGCTGTACATCTGGGCTGGCAGGTCTGGTTCAAGTATCGTCTGTTCTGGAGATGTGTCATAACATGTTTGAACTGGTGAAAATAACTACAACTGAAAAGATTGTTAAAAAAAACGCTCAAACCATCTGATGTCATGTTGTATGATCATTGGAAGCAAACTTTGTGCATTTTTTTCCTGTGTTCATAATGTGCTTATTGGTATATTTGAAAATAATTTAAATACCTCAGCTATATTATTTGTTAATAGTACAATAATAAAACAAATTGCATAATGTTGATCAGCATGTTCTGAAAACATTAGCGAGCTAACAGATATATGAATGAACTCCCATTCCACCAAACTTCCACCACCGCCCCCCAACTTCACCCTTACTAACTCTGCAGGTCCTTCTCCATGTCACTCATGCAATCAGCATCACCTCTTTCCCAAACAGAATCACAGAATTGTTACGGTGAAGGAGGCCATTTGCCCCACTGTGTCTACATTTTAACTTCGTGCTAGCCTCCTGCCTTTTCCTTGTAACTCTGCACATTGTTTCTACTTAGATAATTATACAATGCCCTCAAATGCCTGAATTGACCCTGTCTCCGCTGCACTTCCAAGCAGTGCATTCTAGACCCTAACTACTTACGATAAATAGCTCTTAAGATAAGATTCCAAAATGATGGATGGGAGAGAATCGTGGCTTTAAGAGCTGCTCCTTTTTTTTGAGTTTTTTTTTCCGTGCTGGGGCTGATTTCCTCGATTTCTTGGAACAGTGATTATTGTTTTATAAGTTTTTGCTTTATTTCTGGAACTTCAAAAAAAAGATTTAAACAGCGTAACTTTAACCAGGAGAGAAAGCGAGAGAGCAGGAGACCACTTGGGGGGTTGGCCAGAGAATGGCTCTAGAGTTCAGAAAAAAAAAACAAGCCGTGAATTTCCACAGCTGACTGGCTGTGAAGTTACTAACATCTCTGGAACTTGGAGTTTGGTCATGGAAAGACAACAAATGGTGAAATTTCACAGCTGATCTTGGAGATGTCTCATTATCGGAACTAATCACAGTTGGGGATCAGCTAAGTACTTGTTTTTAAATCTTATAAAACATAAATCTTAATCTTTTTTGTAAATCTACAATTGTGATTAGAGTGAGGATTTTTTTAAATATATGTTTTACTGAGATCTGTTTATTGATTAAACATTTTTAATATAAAACATAAGTATTAAGTTATCATGTGTTTATCCAGTGTTTTTGGAGCAGTAAGACTATGCTATTTTCTTGGTCTGTCGATTGTTAAGCTGCAGAGATGGCCTTTAGTAGAGTGATGTGCTCTTCCTGTTAGATGTGGGAGATTAGGGAAAATTTCAATGTTCCTGATGATTATGTCTGCATGAGGTGTATTTGGTTGTGAATTTTATTGGACTGCATGGATTGGTTGGAGCAGCAGTTAGAGGCAATGAGGAATTTACTGGAGTCAGAGGGTGTGATGGATGGCAGTTTCAAGAAAGTAGAAAAACCGCCGATAAAATCGTGTAGATGGGTTACCTCAGGGAAAGGTAGGAGGGGTAGGTAGGTAGTGCAGGAGTCTTCTGTGACTATCCCCATCTCAAACAAGTATGCAGTTTTGGAAAATGTAGGGGTGATTGACTCTAAGGGGAATTTAGCATTGACAGCCAGGTTACTGATACCAAGACAGGTTCTACTGTAAAGAGGGATATATCAGTTTCGATGCAATCAATTGTGATAGGGGACTGGGCAGGGCAGAGACAGATATTTCTGCGGCTAACAGTGAGACATCAGAATGATGTGTTGCCTCCCTGGTGCAAAGGTCAAGGATGTCCTGGAGACGGTGCAGAATATTCTCAAAGGAGAGAGTCACAAGCAGGAGGTCATTGTACATGTTGGTACCAACAATATAGGAAGAGAAAGGAACAGAGTTCTGAAGACAGAATATAGGAAGTTAAGCAGGAGGTTAAAAAGTTGGTCCTCAAGGGTAGTAATATCTGGATTACTCCCAGTGCCACATGCTAGTGAGAGTAGGAATAGGAGGATAGAACAGAAGAATGCGTGGCTGAGGATCTGGTCCAGGGGAGATGGATTCACATTTTCAGATCATTGGAATCTCTTCTAGGGTACAAGTATAAGAAGGACGGTTTGCACCTGAATTGCAAGGGGACTAATACACTGCCGGGGAGGTTTGCTAGTGCTACTCGGGAGGTTTTAAATTGGTAGTGGACAGGGGGTGGGGGGTGGGGGAGGCTGCTAAAGAGATCGTGAGAAAAGAGATCAGCCTGACGCTGGTGCAGTTGAGCAAAGAACAAGTTGAACAGTCAAGGCAGGCAAGAGCAAAATGTCCAGCACCTACTCCTCTGTAAAATGGACACTTTAAGATATCACCAATTGTTTCTCCAAGTTCTCTAGCTTCCGTATCCTCCAAGTAAAAGCTGACTGAAATATTCGTTTAGTATCTCACCCTGCAGTTCCACACAGACAGCCTTGTTGATCTTTTAAGGGTCCCATTCTCTCCCCAGTTACTCTTTAGTCCTTCTGCAAATACATTAAGGAATTTTCCAATGAGTGTAGTCCCAGTCTACTGAATCTCTCCTCATAAGCCAACCCTCCCACCTCTGGAATCAACCTAGTGAATGTCCTCTGCACGCGTCCAGTGCCAGTATATCCTTTCTCAAGTTAGAGACTGAAACTGTACAAAATACTCCAGGTGTGGCCTCACCAGCACCCTATACAGCTGCAGCATAACCTCAGAGATAGTAGAAACTGCTGATGCTGGAGTCTGAGATAACAAGGCGATGAGCTGGATGAACACAATCAAAACCCCCTTCCCCTCCCCCATTTCTGATGAAGGGTCCAGACCTGAAACATCAGCTTTCCTACTCATCTGATGCTGCCTGGCCTGCTATGTTCATCCAGATCCACACCTTGTTATCTGCAGCATAACCTCCCTGTTTTTAAACTCGATCTCTCTCTCAGTGAAGGATAATATTCCATTTGCCTTTTTAATTAAATGCAGTACCTGCAAACCAACTTTTTGTGATTCATACACTTGGGTCAAATGCTGGCATATGGGACTAGATTAATTTCAGATACCTGGTTGGCGTGGACGAGTTGGACCGTAGTGTCTGTTTCCATGCTGTATTTGTCTATGACTCTACTTGCAATGTGAAAAAGATATTTCTCACCCATTTGTTTTTTTTTTTCCAGAAAACACTTTAAAACTGACTGTCTGGTTCCAGGTCCTTTTACAAAGATCCAAAGTTTCTAGCTCTCTACTGTGTTAAGATGCCCCATGATTTTGAAAAGTTCTGTAAAATATCCATTTAGCCTTCTCTCCAAGGAAAACAGTCCAAACTCGTCCAATTGTTCTCATAACTGAAGTGTCTCAGCCTTGGAACTATTCTCATTGATCTCTTCTGCACACCTGAAATGCATTCACATCCTTCCTGTAGTTTGATGCGCAGAAATATGCACAATGGCCAGTTTGTGATGCAGAGTGATGCTAATAATGCAGGTTCTTTCCCCACGCTGGCTGAGGTTATCATGAAGGGCTCTGCTTCTCACCCTCTTCCCTTGTCTGATGTGCAGTGACCCTCAGGCATCTTCTCAATGTCCTTCTGAAGGACTGTATCCTCACAGTTTACAATTCTGTCAAGTTTTATGTCAGTTGTAAACTTTGGAATTGTCCCCTGTACACAATATATATATCAGAAAAGTGATTAATCCAGATACCGTAGTAATGTTCTGGGGAACTGGATTTGAATCCTGCCATGGCAGATGGTGGATATTGAATTCAATACAAATCTGGAATTAAGAGTCTAATGATGGCCATGAAACCATTGTTGATTGTTGGGGGGAAAATGTCTGGTTCATTGATATCCTTTCGGAAAGGAAAGTGCCATCCTTACCTGGTCTGGCCTGCATGTATCTTCAGACCCATAGCAATGTGGTTGATTCTTAACTGACTTCTGGATAATTAGGGATGGTCAATGAATGTTGGCCTAGCCAGTGATGCCTGCATCCTGTGAATGAATATGAAGAAACTATAAATACACCACATCAGCATCCTTGCCCTCATCACTACTCTCCAATAACGCTTTGAAAAACTTCAGCAAATTAGTTGGACACCAATTTCCATGAACAAATCCATGCTGAGACTTCCAAATTAAGCCACGTTATTCCGTGTTACTATTAATTCTACACCGAATAATTGTTTCTAAATAGTTACTCACCATCAAAGGTAATCTTACTGGTCTTTAACTTCTGGACCTGTTTTTATAACCTTTTTGAACAAGGATGCAATATTTGAAATTCTCCAGTCATCCACCAGCATCCCCAGGGAAGATAAAAGATAATTGCCTGTGCCTCAGCAATTTCCACCTTTTATGTATCTCATGTGGTCCCCGTGCCTAATCAACTTTAAATGCTGATATCTTCTGCAGTCACTCCTCCTTGTCAATTTTAAATTGTTCCAGTGACTGAGGTTCCTCCTCTGCCATCATGGCGTAGCCAGTATTTACTGCGTACACAAAGACAGATACCAAGTATTAATTTAATACCTCAGCCTTGTCTCTTGCCTTTAAATATAAATCCCCTTTTTGATTGCTAATTGACCCA